TGAGCTCGTAATTACATCCCATCGTCTCAATTAACTCTGTGATGAGTGTTTTGTGATACCTGTGAGGTCGTTCGCAACAATATAAGTGATCTTGGTAGTTGTAGTATTGAAAATATGATTATTTAGTGTTGTGGTGGAAGCGGGCACACATTGAAGGGAGGTCGCAGTTAGTGTTATAAGCATCCCCACTGCTAGCATCTGCGCAGTGGGGATGCTTGTAAACACTGTGTGCTAACAAGTACGGTGGTTCACATTGCGAAAGTAAAAGTGGATATGCAGAGCTGGAGAACGTGGTTAATGTCGTTTGTTGAAAAGAGGGGCAATTGGAATCACTACTCGAGGTAAGGTGCTGTTGGCGTAGCTACAGTAATGTTCAATCAGGACCTACCTAAAGCGCAACCATTACTCTTAGCCGCATTCGTACGTTTTAAAAGTCGCAAACGTTATTGTGTGGAATGGGCTACAAAAGGAATCCCACCATTGGTCCCCATGCATCATGGTGGGACGCCGGCTGACTGCAACCGACCACAACAGTACTCCTGCTCGTTCGACTTGCCGTTTTACTTATGCTGATCGACACCGTTTCGTGTGCAATGTCGGCTCGGCAGTATTTCACCCAATAGAAAGTCGTACATGTTAAATGTTAGTGATATGTTGCTGCTGCGACAACCGCCTCGTCCAATCGGATTGTCGCAAAAAATACTGACCAATCCGAATTCAATCATTTGTCGGTCATCCAATCACGGGGCCGAATTTTGTCGGTTTTGTGTCGTGTCTGTCTTATATTTCCAATCAAAACTATAACGTTCATTGATTGGAAGAAATAATCAAGGTAGTGGAACTTGCATTACGATTTCCAACCACAACACATTTTGGCGAGTTTGGTGTATCACCGAATTTTTTTGATTGGGTCCTTGCCTCCTCACCATGCCCTGCTGTCCTTATCGCTGTTTACGAACCCAGTCCTCTTTGCCAGTCTTTCTACTATTGTGATATCGGGCTCAACATCGTCATGCTTGCGTGCCAGCGGAATCCCTCCTTATGTTGAAATGTACAGGAAATTGAAAAAAAACGAGGTGATTTTGACATCCATGCCTGCCAAGATTTTGGACGGCGTGCGGAGTATTGTCGAAGACAATGGTGTGGCAGCTGGCAACATTACACGATCGGTTCTTGAGTCGTCTATTGCCAGTGCCTTGTCGTCCATCCAACAGTCAAATAGCGCCATGTCCCCCGCACAACAATTGCGAATTCATTCGCAGCCTCTGGTGTATGAGCCATTTCACTGGGGTGGCAAATTCCACAAGCTACCCGAGAATTTTGTGTTTCCTAGTGTCGATGCTGCAACAGCATGGAAATTATGGTGGCGTGGAAATATTCGCGAAAA